AATACACCAAAAGTTGGACGAAAAAGTATATTTGAAATGTCATACGTGGCCCAACAAATTAAGAGATTGGTATGGTCAAGTAAATTCTACGGGATACCTTCTCAAGGCTCCATGTTTATATCTCGCTACCCGTATATTGTGTTAGGAGTTTGTCACAAAGGCCATTTGAAAAAGAAAAAGAAAAACATATCAAATCTACGCTTTGTGTGTGTTTGTGCGCCAATATGCATATGCTAAAATCAGATTGAATGACCTGAAAGATATCAGATGTTTTAGAACAGTTCCGGCTTCAGCAACGGTGAACTATGAGTATTTTGCAGTGAACTGCAAAGTAGTGGTAGCAGAACGCTCCTAGATGGAGAACTATGTTTGCCATCTAGGAGCGTTCTGCTACCAGTTCTTTGCATGTTGCTACAGGCCTACATATTCCCTTCATCAATCAAGGTGCAGACTGAAATACATCCGATAGTCCATTCTCTTCTCAGTAAAAAAGACAAAATACTTTTTTGAAAAAATAAGCATGTTGTGGTATTCCAAATAATTTCTGAATTACAACATTTTGTAATTATATTATATGGTTCAAAGGAAATAATTGTAGGTTTCTAAATTGCAGTGTAAACTTATTGTAAATTATAAGTAGTATCAACTTATCTCACATACGAACCTTTTATTTATTTATTTATTTATTTATCTTATATTATGTTGACTTCACATACAAGTTTGAATCAATATCTATTTTTATTCATTATAACAATCTACGATCTCTAAGTGTGGAAGAACTTGATCACTTCTTGTTTGCTAAATGTTTTCAGTTGAGGTTATCGTAGTTCTATGACTTTGATACTTATCCATAAATACTCCTTAACGGATAATTACGGCATTTTATTACTACAATTTTCTTTGTTCTCATGTTTTCTATCACAAACACTCAGACCACGATATACACAGTTGGACAAAAAAAGGGAGAATAGATATGGTCTTTAATTTCCAGGGTCATTTCCAACTGTTATCAGTGTGGATTAACCATACTGATAACAGCTGAGATGATTACTTTTCTTAAATATCTTCAGATTTCGGTAGCAAATTAACAACTTTAACTTGTCACTTTGAGATCGGTATGTGTAAAATGGCTGTCGGTAACATGTGAAACGTTTCAGTTCTATGCATATATCCTATTGTGACCGATTGTATTGTTGAATGCAGCAACTTTGAATCCTCTAAATAGATAGTGAATCAGAGTTTTATTTCCTGCGATTATAAAAAAATGTATTCCTCAAATAATGCTGTCCTTTAGACTGCTCTACACCCAAAGAGACGTGGCATCCGGTTCAAATCTAAGGAAAAAAATTGTGTGGTAATATGGATCACAATGATCGATTCGAGATGCTTCATGGTTACTCATTTTCCTTTCACATTTTCTCACTGCCAACTCCATTCCCAGATCCATCAGGATGCTCACAATACTATTGTCTTTAATCTTCTTTCCTGCGCTAAGGTTTCAAGCATTGATGATTTCTTGAGTTTCTGACATCAATCCAAATACATCTGGAACTGGGATAAGGTGATGTACTGTTCCTTGGTTCCTTTTTTCACGCACTAAAATACTCAACACTTTTTCTGATCCTGAGTTTCAAACAGGACTCCAAATCCAGAGGAACATCTTGCTCTCAAAAGTACATGTCGAGGACAACAAGATTGCACACGCCTTGCTTGTCGAGTGGTCTCCTCTGCACCGCATATTGCTATCAAGTTGGTACTCAATATATGTGTTCCCCAGCCTGTCATGTTTCCTCACATGTGCAATATCAGGTTCTTTATCTGGGTTTCATAACTTTTTATGGTTCGGTCTATAGTTGGGGTCATATTCAGGTTGGACCAAATTCAATGGTTGGGTGGGTGGGTGGGTTTAAGTGTCTTGGCTCTATGAGGGATGTTTTAGATGTCTACGCTGTCTCTTTTGTATATCCTGTGGATGTATAGTTGGAGTACAGAGGGTGCAAATTGGTGTCATGATGGTCTGTCTTGCCAAGGGGTGTCGTCACAGCGATCTTCGATAAGTGACAAGTTAGCGAGATATCCGACATTCCAGGATGAAAAGAAAAATCCGAGGAATGCTCATGCCACATAATTTATTAAATTCTGTCGGATATTCCTCTTCATTCTCATGATATCTGTGTCTGAGGTTATCGTTGGAATACCACTGATCCAGAAATCGTCGCTCTTTTGATGATTTGTTTCGGAAAACATAGTGCCGATATTGGATCTCCGGTATGAGAATGAGTTCCGCCCAAACCAACCGAGTTGGCCCGTCATTAATTGCATTCACGGCCACGAGGCCTACAAGACCCACAATCTCGACAGGAAGATGGTATACACGACGCAGGAACGAAGAGTGTATTCTGAAACATCTTCGTTTACAGCAGGCAGACAGGGTTTCGAGAGCAGTACATTACTGCATAGCTCGAGCACCTTCGTTCGGTACGCGAAGAGGATCTCACAATGAGCCAAAGGAGGAGAAGACAGTAGACCGGCCATTCGAGACGAGAAGGACACGGTCATCGCAGAGAATACGAACACAGTTTCGTGCATCCTCCTGTCTGTCACACAGCTCAAGGAAGCTTTGTATGTCGATAAGGTCACGTACACCAACTTATCATCTACTCATGATGGTGTGAATCTACCGTAGACGTTGCTCATTGACTTGAGAGACACCATAGCAGCTACAGCTCCAGACTGGGCTCATGATGATCATGATCGAGATACAGATGGAATGCGGGTATCCGCTGGAATTTACATACAACTGTCTCGAAAATATATGCACATGAAGCTGATTGCTGTACGAGGCTACGGCGCTAGGGTAGGATTAGTCCGGCTGTAGGCCAAGCGAGCAGACCTTTAAGTTATCTGCAATCATGAGATGTGAAGTCACAGCGCCAAAAATACAGAAATAAGACAAAACGAAGAAGGTGTGTGAGAACCTTCAGGATCGATTTTCTTTCTTTAGATGACATGAGATAGGGAGGTAGTCATTCCCTAGCAAAAAGTGCGGGCATCTACTCATTGAGCTACGGAACACGGCCTATAAAGAGTTCGGCTTTCTGACTTATACTTCTTCTTATTCCTCTGCTTTCCGCATAGCGAAATTATTCTAGCCTATTGGGCGCCATGATTTTAATAAGCGAGACGGATCTTCCATGTCTTCAGTGGCCCTTTCCTAGTCAGCTCTGTGATGCACTGGATGACATTGTGGGTTTCCATTTCGCTGCATTGCCATGCCTGCGATAGCGCCTCCCGTTCGCCAAGCATTTCCCCCCCATTTGCCCCATTGCCCCCCTTTGCGAGTTTTTTCTTATCGTCTCATGTTCGTTGTCTCATTCTTAGCCGTCTCGTGTAGACGGGGGTTCGAGGTTCGACGCGGAGTTGCATAGGTCCCCCCCCTCGCCCTTAACGGTTGGTGGCCTGCCGTTGGAAAACCACCGAAGAAATATCTGCGAGCTCGGCATGCTTAAGGGCAGTAGGGGCATGCTTTAGGCTTTCTGCGACTATCATTGAGAATAACCATTTCTGCATCATTTGCAGTCACAAGATTGAAACTCTCATTACCATTGAATCTCTGCCTGAATACCTGGTGACATCAACTCGTGTAAGCACATTCTTTAAAAAAATCTGCCGTGCAGTATTTGTGTAAGTGGATGTATTCTGCTTCACACGTTAATTCGACTGCCGATGGCATGCCATTAGCCGACTTTCTGCCAATTGTATTGCTTTCTTTCTCGATAAAAGCTTCGCTGCTTTATGTATGTGTGAGAAAGCACGCTCTCACAAGCGGAGTGTCTGTTTTTATTATTGTCGTGAGATCGTCTGGCATCATATTCCGTATGTTGTGGACCAGACATTTCATACGTGCTTGTGCATTTCGGCGCAAATAGTAGAAGTTACAACGCACAGGTCTTTCTTTCGGCGCGACCCTCGTAGAGTGGTAGCCTGTGGAACAACAACGCTCTATTCATGGGCGAGGCCTATGGCGCCTATGCCACTAAAATATGCATATATGATACATGTACGGCGCAAAAGATGGGGGAGAGGAGTTGTGTGCTGTTATCAAGGCCAAATTTCTATTGAGTTTGATTTGCTGGCACACATAAACGTATAAATAAAAATTGCCCACTTTTACGAGCATACGAAGGCAATACTTCAAACTGAATCTTACAGTTGAACTGATCAGTTTTGGATAAACAAACAAATATCCAACTTCCATGAAAAGGCGAAAACAGCAAGACATAGAAGAGGATGGGGTTGTAATGATGGAAAATTATTTATTGATTACTTTTTATGCGTGTCTGTGCTGTGGATGGATCTTCTTTCTATATCTCTCTCTCTATCTCTGTCTTTCTGCCCCCCCTCATCTCTATAACTTACAAGTGGTGATGAGCACTTACATGTAAGCACGGCGTCTTTGCCGTCATGCGGTGCATTAGATCTTTTCGGATGACGAGGTAATCGACACAGCCACGCCCTTTTCAGAAGTAGAGGACCTCAAAGAAAGTCGCACAGTGGTCCTCAGATCTGCTTGGGAGCGAGCAATTCTATTCCCGATTATTTTCCTAACTGCAAGAGTTCATGGCATGCAATCCTGTCGCTCCAGGCCTACGAGAAAAGACAAGGCTCGCGAGGCCTATATCCTTATCTCAACCGGTTACCACATTTGAAACCCCCCAAACATAACCAGAGCCGTGGAGTTCGGCCGATTTGATTGTAATATGGTCTGGCTGCCAACGGTATGGGTAGATAGATATTCGTCCCCGGCTGAAATCACTCAGAGCCGTGACAGCGTCTCAGAGACTCACACATAGCACAAGCTAAAAAGCGAAGGATCATATCAGATGTATTTTTCGTTTCTTTCATAAAGCGATGATTTTGTGGAAATGAACTGAATGATTCCTGTTGCTCGCCACACACATGCATCAAATAGCTTAATGACTTTATTCTTGTTGGTATATGAAGAATGATGCCCGAAAACACAACAGAAAAGGTTCGTTTTGTTGCCATAAGAGCCTGAGGTACAGCGAATCTGCAGGGGCGGAAAAAAAGGGGCCGAGGGGGAACAGTTTCGAATTACTTTTGTATTTCTACAACCATGGCAAAACTCTAATATATGATTTAGCGCAAGGGAGGAATATTTCGTGCTTGGTGCCAGGCGAGAAGCTCAAAGAAATATATTCAATTCCACCCGGTGCACCACAAAATACTTTACGTTCCTCGGGTCGCAATGCGGCCTCATACCCCCACGGTATCGGAGTCTCAAGGGCAACGCAGACGGGAATATACTCCGTTCTGCAGTAAAGCGGCTACAAAAGCTCGATTACTGAGAGATCGAGTCCTCCCACTTGCCAACATTATCACTGCAGCCAACCTGCAAGTGGCTTATGTGTATAACCCACTAGCTGCATGCGATTCGGTGCAATGTAGTTAGAAGCAAATCATCAGCTCACAATCAGCAGCCAGATTCACTCCTCGCCTTACATGCATATGTAAATATAACTGACTGCTGGTGCTGCTGCTCCTGGCATCGAGTCCCATGGACCGGGTTCGTCTTCCCATCGTACGAATGGCTTGCGAGTTCAGATGATGTGTATGAGCACTCGAGAGGCTATGATTTGGTGTCTATATTTGTACTTAATAGAACTCTGAACTGTAAAATCTGTAGCAGTTTGGATTCATTTGGAAATAAAACCGAGCCTGATCCGACGCGAGAGATAGATCCCACAACGAACTCGTGACGTTGCAGCAGTAAAGAGTAATTGTTATCATGCAGCCTTTTCTTCTGAATACGGTCGGTGGTGGAGACCAAACTCCACGAATCCCCTCGAAACCGAAACCAGACCAAATTCTGGAAACTGCTCCTATATTCGCGTAAAGTGGAGGTTACATCCTGCCAGTAAATCTTAAAAAACTCGCTTGCCTCGCTTGAAACCCCATGGCCACTGGGTCTACTTCGATCGGTTTTATCGTATCAGTAGCATGGGCGAATTAAGTGGCTGCAGATTGCAGCCGATCATTGTTTAAACGAGATACAGTGATCGGATCAGCTTCGCAAGAGATCCAGAACATCTGAAGCCATGAAGGATGCAGTTGCGCTTCCGGTGTCGCGTATGAAAATTCATCCATTCCTTATTCACGACCCCAGAGAGTACGAATCGAGGGAGGGGGCCTGGGGACCCCAGGGTCGGTGATACCCGGAGACGGGGGGCAGGCAGGGCATTTTACCAGTGGTTACTACCCGGCTCATGGAATACTGACAGCGGATCTAAGAAGATGACGTACACGATCTCCATGATCTACACGAGCACTTGCAAGTATGATTGTGGCATACTTCAGAACTCACCACCTACTTCAGAAACGGAAATTGGCAGTGGGTGTAGGGAAGTTGCGTGAGCTAGCCGTCCCATTGTCCTGAATCTCGTCAAGTACCAAGCCTGCATCGATGACATCTTCACACAACTCACTATCTATCTAGTTCACCAGATGCTGACAGTGAGTTTAGGTGCCAGTGGTAAAATGTCCCTCGTCCTTCACAGCTCTTGGAATCCAAGTGCGCCGGACAGCATACTATCACAACGCTACCCGAGCTTCCCGAGCCCCTTCGGCTTACTTCAGCATGCGCAGCAGCAGCAGCAGATTGTTGACCGTAAGCCTGGGTGGTTGCCGATGATGAACACAATTCCCCGCTTTGGCAGAAGAGCCTGACCCCGGGAGCGGGGGTTTCGTCCTGGGACTTATCACAGAGATACCAAATCTGTTTCGAGAGCATACTGTCACACACATCACTGGAGCAGATACTGACACTCTCGATGCATCGAAGGATGAAGTAAGCAACAGCCGCAGCAATAGCAGCTATCCCTTCGCCCTGAAGCTCCCAAGAAGGATCGGTCTGCATCTAACGGAACCGGCTCAAGCACCTCACTAGTTCCTGATCACAAACAAACAAACGGAAATCATTGTTAAACCACGCTGCTCTATTTCCGGAGAAGGCTTGGACTCTACTCCTGGGATCGAGTCGACAAGCTGATCTACATGATGACGAGCCCCTGCAGGAAAACAATATGATGTGGTACACTTGCTATCTCCAAAGATGGCACAGTGACTGTAGACTGCGGTACTCTTCTCCAGACAGCCTACGCTCAGACAATAGCGTAAATACGACAGAATCTTTCCGAGGGGATATTTTTTGAATCGTCTGGCAGCAGCAGCAGCAGCAGCAGCATCCGCACTCTTAGAAGCAGAAGATGTAGAAGTAGTCGTACCTTCCCCGCAGTGGAGGCTTATCTAGTGAGTGCGAGTTCTACAATCCGATCGACTGTTCATGCAGCAGTTGCAGTGTCTCTCGTGGTCGTTAGCAGAATTGTCATGTCCGGTCTCGGGGTCGCTGGAGCCGAGAAACAAATTATCGACCCCGCGAAATCATTCGATGGTTTCCTTTGATCATTTGAACCTATGAACTCTACACACGACAGGCCCAGCCGAGCCCGCTGCTTATGGAAAGAAATGGTAGCAAAAGGCCAAGCTCGGGGGCTTTTTGTAGAAAGAAATCGAACGAACGCGTCCTCGAGAGTTAGTGGGGCAAATACCGAAATGATCATTGTAACGCTTTTATTCCCTCTTGACTTTCACACACTCCTTGACCATGTGTCTCGCATGGACCTACAAATTAGCCCTTCGACCTCAAGGCTCAGGCCGAGTACCATCCGAACGTCCACCTTCATAGCAAGGCAAGGCAGCCAACAGTACATATTCTCCCGAAATGCTTGCTCATATTTTCCCTGTCTTTGACTTAAATACAAACCGGATCTGATGAGCAAACTGGCCCCGAGAAAAAACTGGTAGTGATAGGTGAACAAACAGACCAACTCAAAGTGCGAATAAAAGGACGAGAGTTGAGAAGCAAGACGACCGTGGCCAGTCATCGATGACAGTATGTTTTTATCGAAGCGCGGGCCGCCTAGCTAGACTCTACTAGCATTCGTACTATGGCCGACGATGGCACCATTCTCTGAGACTCCATGAATCAGGACAGCTAGGTTTGTTTCGGTAATTAAGCACCTCCCCTACGGTAGTACTGCCCGCCCGCCCGCCCGCCCGCCTGCCCTCGCTCGCTCGCTCGCTCCCTCCCCGTCCATCGCTTCTCTGGATCTCTGAATATATTCTGTTCCGCTTTTAAGGTTGCATTTTGTCCACCCAGAGTGAGCACATCGTTATCTGCAAAAGCCTCGAAATCTGCTGCTGTTGTACAATCGCTCATGAGTACTAAGTAAAAGACTTAGTTTGGCTCTAGGCGCTAAGCAGAAGCAGCGGCAGCAGCAGCAGTAGGTGATCACGAACCAGCTACTCTCGCGTGAGGATCCTCGCTCCTTTTGGATGTTCCGGCATCCATGCATCCCGCAGCACCTGAAGGAACGAACCTCCTGGATTCAAGCTGGGCATTGCCCCAGGCCTCTTCTTATTTCGCCCCTCAGACGGAATGTCTTTAAATGTCCTCATCCGCATTCGTTCGCTGGTAATTTCGCCCCGGGCACCTGGCTGGCTGCATTGGTATCGGGGCACGACAATGTACGTCCTTGCGTGAGGTGCTGTTGTTGGTCATGTATCCTGGAATAAAACAAAATTCTGTTGTAAAAAACTCCTCGCAGATAGAAGCTCAACGAGCGCTTGAACCTTAAGGAACGAGAAAACATGTCAACTTTTCGGGCTCTGCTGCTTCGAACAAAACGGGACATATTAATATGCGGCCATGGTGCGAGCCATATTTACCGAGGTTTTGACCTCTGTGTTTAAATACATATTCATGGGCATGTAAAGGGCTTGGATGCATACGTATGTGCCTTGGAACGCTATCGTGCATCTAACGGCGTTTGACAGTTTTGTGCTCAGGTCCGTTTGTCGAATTTTCCACTAGCATACAGCATTTTGTCATTCACCTTTCTGGTCATGGCTTTAGGCGGCAGGTCTTGGCAGGATCTACCCAGAAGAAGGTCGCTATCGGATGATTCAACTTAGGTCCCACCGACCTATGTACATTGACTTCCAAAGCAACTATGCATGGCTCATTAATGCTAAAATATATTCAGTGCGTACTAGTGTGGTACACTCTGAACAGTAATCCGGGTCATAATAAAGTTCAACGCTAATTGAGGTACGAATCATTCTGAAAAGTCTTATATGTCTATCTGAATTAGGTTTCTGGGGCCTTTCTCAACTTCCATGACGAGAGGATTTGTGCAATACATTCTTTTTTATCCTTAAGTGTCACTAGCATTTGAGCATAAGCTCCCAAGATGGGGCATGATCGAATTGATCATGCTGTCGCCGGCGAATCTCGGCAACCCGATGTGCAAGATGAGCTCTAGGGTCACAAAATTGAGAGGAAGTTTGAATATTAATTGGGATCATATTGATAGGCATTCTGCAAACAGTTCTCTAGAACTGAGTAAGATGAAGAGATGGGAGGCTGAAGAAGAATTTCATCGCTCATTTTGTGGCCATCGAGCATAATAAATACAGACTGCTCGAATGAGCATGTCTGGATGAAGGACACAGTGAAGAATCAGTACTTATTTCTATTACCATAACTTGATTTCGGTAGACTATAATTTGAATCACATGATATCTTTAGACTATGGACACTGAGCGCTCAAATGCTTGGCTGCAGATGAAACCCTTCAGTATTTTTAAGAAATTGTGCATGACATTGTGCGTGTCAACAGGGAATAAGAAGGTTGTTGAGGTGCAAGCTAGGGGAGTATCCAAAGCTTGCAATGTGAATACTTTGGCTCTTTGGATAGCTCCAATAAAAAAGATTTGAGAAAATATGAGTAACTTTTTCACTTTGTTTGTTTAAATAGCCGCAAAGTCCATCACGAAGTAACTCAAATCCCTCATATTCAGAAGGTTTGGGTAATAGGAGATTTTTTCCCCCTTTTTCATCAAGAGATTGGTTTGATCTCATTAAGAGCTTGAGGAGAACCTCAGAGAAATAAAGTGTTGCATATCATCTTGATGCGATGGTTCAAAAGTTTTAGCCGTGGTAGTTATGTGAATCAATTGTTACATTATAGACTATATTTTCTTCGTGACTAACCTAATTTCCTTCCGAAATCAAAAAGATACCACGGTGAAGTATTCGTCGCTTTTTTGGGGGGTTTGAGTGAACAGAGATAAAAAATAATGAATAAATATTTATCATATGTTGATATTTATGAATGAAAGCATCAAATAGGCTTTTTTAGGGACTAGATTTTATAAAGCATGTGCTTTTGATTGAAAAAAACATTTTCTGGATGTTATGAACAAATACTTACCGAATGATTATTTGCGTTTTAGAAAACTTTAACTAAACAGGCCTTATTTCCATCTTCTAATAGTAAATTCATAATACAATCTTTTGTAAGTTAACTGTAAATAATTCAATATTCATATTTCGTTAAAATTATTTTATCAAGCCTAATATCGCAATTTTCTACCCAAACCTTACACCGATGGTAGCCATCCTTTCATGTATCCATGGAAGCTGTACCCCTTTAACTTTCTTTTGTACATTTCAATTTTAGATTTTGTACATTTTTTATAGATGGTTCGAAGCTTATAGGCCCTTTTGTTCGACTTAATAGGGGAGGAATTCTGCAGTTAGGATGTTAAAGAGCATCTTTAATAAAATTGGCGTGTAAATGATTTCCTTAGCATGATTAAACGAATTAATAACATGAAGCTGGAATATAAGTAAAATATCATCTTTTTAGTAACAATATTGATTTTTCTAACCTTGATCAACTTGCTTTAGGATAGCCAAAGCATTGATGATGCCATGCATATTCATGACATAACTAAAATTCCATTCAGAATGATAAAAAATGTGACATTTTAAAGAGAACGAGAAGATCTCACATTAGTTTTAGCAAGAAGTTATGAAAGTTGCAATCTCATTATAATATGTAATGAAAAAATCCGGAGGTCATTAAATGTTGCTTTAACTATAAAAATGGTAGGTCATATAATTCAGTTATCGTATAATGAGCAAGAGAGCTTGGTCTTTAAGTTTTGTACCGAGACTAAGACATGAAATTTGAGTAAATCTTTATAATATATGTGAATTCGAGAGTAGAGATTGCTGTGATGATAGCAAGGTCCAGAACCATATACTCGGAGTCTACAAGCCAATTTCAAAAATTCTTTGTTAATATATTACCGGAATCCTCAAGACATTGTTGAGGATTCCATTATGAAGTATGAAACATGACTAAATCCAACGTATTGGAGTTCCATGGCCGTAAGGGGATACCATAGGGTAAATAAAACCATAAAGTAATCTTTAAAGGTCATAAGCACAAAAATCTATATTTACTATAAAACACTACCATGTGAAAGAAAATTAATTACATTAAATCTTGAATTAATATGTTTCATGTGTGGCATTCTATTCTAAAACACATGAGTAATAGATACATGTCCCACCTAGCCTAAAGATAATTATTAACCGGCAAAGTAAAGTTGACTTAAAATTGTGTGAATATACTATCATGAATTAATATCATAGGCAAAACTTTGGTGTTGAATTACACCAAAGGTTTGCAACTTCAGTTGTTTAAAACTTTCAAAAGTTGAAAAGTCTAAGTTGAAACTTAAACTAGACACTATGTGGAATATTTAGTTATGGATAATGATGAAAAGTATACTTTTGAAGAAATTTGTAATTACTTCAAGGAAGAGCAAATTCCTTGTAATTTCATAACGGTTTATATTTTGTAATAGAATGTTGATTTTGAAAGTGTCAATCAAACAATGTTGTAGAAGGTGCAAAGTATGTTGAGTCAATCTTGTTTATCTTATAAGTTTTAGGCTAAAAATACCATAGTGTATTTGGTATAACTTTTTGCTTATAATACAATCAATATCCTCACACCGTTTGAATTGAGTCATAAACAAAAGGTTGATTGTAATTAATTGGAATCTTCTGATTGTATTGCTTATCGTATCATAACTCATGATACTAATACCAAGTTGGATCTTACATCCAAGAAGTGTTGTTTTATATACTAGTGGTGTGAAAGATTATAGATTCTAAGATCCAATAGCATATAAAGTTATCTTCAATAAAGATGAATTTTCAGTGAATCGAGATCATTGAAAGAGATTGAAAGTTTCCATACTGAAAAGAAAAAATCTCCACTCACAAATATTAATGAGTGAAAGATTGATCTTTATGTATTTAATGATGTGACACAAGGAAAAACTTCAATTCAAATGAAGAAAATTCATGAATATCACAAATTGAAGTAGCAAGTTTTCATCGATGAGATTCAAATATCTAAATCAAACGAGAAAATTTGACCAAAATTTTTTGTAATGAGATCATCAAATAAAATAAACAAAGCTCTTGCAAGGTTTTGATTATGGGCTATTTCATTCATTCTTGAATACCATTACATAATACAAAGCATAATGATGATATTGCATTGATCTTGAAAGAAATGAAACCGTCAACTTATAAACAAGCTCAAGCTTAAGTCAATAAGCTTGAATTAAATTCTACTATTAGGTGGGAGATGCAGTTAGTGATTGATATTAAGACTTAAAAGCTAGTTGAGTTTCTTATGAATCAAGCACTGATTGATTCCAAGTGGTTGTATAAGCTACAAAAGAGTCCAGTACTTGACGAGAGTATAATCTTCAAAGCCATGTTGATGACTAGAGATTTCACACAAAAGAAAGGAGTGGATTATAAAAACGTGTTTTCCTTTATAATAAAGTATATTACAATTTGTCTAATTTTGCATTTATCGCAATATTTATCTTGTTATGATACATATGGATGTAGTTACAACAATATTTCATGGTATTCCAAAAGAAAAAATCTACATGCAATCACCTAGCTTTGAAAATAAAGGGAGAACAAAGTTGATTTGTAGATTGCTAAAATCATCATATGCTAAAACAAGTTACCACACAGGAGAATGTGAGATTTCATTATTTCATGAAATCACAAGATTTTTTATGAAGTGTGTATGATATTTGTATATACATTAAAAAGATGAATAATAAAATTTTTAATCTTATTATTCTACTACTATATATGTATAACATTCGCATCTTGTTATAGAACCAATTTGACGTTGACAAGTGGAAGAATCAATTGAAGTCTTCATTCAAATCAAAAATTTCATGTAAGTTAAAAACTAAATTAAAGGTAAACATTCATAGGGATTTGATAAACAAAAGGCTATGATTGAATAAAGCCAAGTATGTTCAACATGTATTTGAATAATTTAACATGGAAAATTCAAAAGGAGTAAAAATCTTTTGGCAGCACATTTCAAATTTTTTGCAATTCAATATTCAACTAATATCATTGAGAAGTAAAAGAGCCATTTATTTCCAATGACAAAGCTTTAGATTACCCCATGTATGTGATGCTTTATTGTTGTGTACAAGATCTGATGTTGTTTTAGCTATGGACAAGGTGAACATATACATGTCAAAGTTGAAGAATGTTCATTTAGAAGCAATGAAATGGATTCTCAAGTATTTGAAAAAAAACTAACAATAATAGTTTATTATTTGATGATTTATCAAACAATGTCAAATCCTCATTAGCTATAACACTGTGAATCAAGAAAAAACCTTGTTTGAAAATGGAACACAATTGTGACAATGAAAATTATTTGCTGCATTAGATAGATATTACCAACAAGCACAAGAAGATAAAATCTTATAAACTATCCATTCTACTCCTAGTGAATTGATGACATGACAAATAAATATAACAAGAACATAGATTATTGACGTGTCGTTGTTAATTAACATACTTTATCTCTTCCTAACAAGCACATAGATTGTTGACGTGTCGCTGTCAACTAACATACTTTTACTTTCCCTAACAAGCACATAGATTGTTGACGTGTCGTTGTCAACTAACATACTTTTACTTTCCCTAACAAACACATAATTGCTGACGTGTTGTTCTCAGTTAACAAATTTACTCTCTACCTACCAAACATACACATATGCTACTCGGGTTAGAGCCTAAGCTAGTGTTGCTTTCGGTTACTGGACTTTCATCATCTAGGGTGCAGTACTCAACTGCTTTGCATAGCAACACAACACTTATTTAGTAACAACTATGAATAATGCACTATAAATAAAATAACTTCATTTTGAGTATACTTTACTTTAATACTAACTATCTATAGATGATTATATGCTTACGTTGATGCTTATAATGAACAAAATTTGGACTAAAAACAACTAGGTATTTTTTCACCTGATGATGGATACATTAGTTGGAGATTTACATTGCAAAAAGTGTGTAGTTCAATCTATAATGAAAGCTGAGTATGTAGTGGCAACAACAACTATTTTGTTGGATAAGTTTATCACTGGAATGAGATTGAAATAAGATATTGTTATTCTTCAGTTTAATAGCCAGAGTGCATTATATCTTGCTGCAAGTTAAATAATAAACAATAGAATGAAACACATCGACTTCAAAGTATCATTTTATTAGACATGCAATTTTTGATAAACGAATTGAATTAATCAAGATTGACGATAAATTCAATTTAGCTAGTGTGTTGACCAAAATTATCACCTTGGAGAGTTTTTAAAGACATTGTGGTACTATGCAGATTTCAAATGAGGAGCACAAGTAAAGTTTACTGGCAATTTTCAAATACCTTTATATAATTTTACTCTATCATGTTTTGGCTACGGTTGAAATCTACTTAACTCTAGTGTAAATAGTGACCTTTGTTAGATTTCTTTCTAAAAATTACTGCAGAATAAGTATATAGACTAAGTAGGTTGTTAGTTCCTCGACATGTGTTAAGGAGAAGAGTGTCAGATGTAATCTTAATTGGGATCGGAGGATTCAAAATATCAGTCAACATTAGTGTCTTGACTAAACTTTGTTTGTCTTGTTTTACAATTTGGCACGACAAGTTTGTTTGTCGTGCCGAACATTATCTATGTGTCTCCATGGACATAGCAAGAACCGCAAACCGTGTTATTTTTTGTGTCTTTTGTCATGTGGCTTCTCATCTTTTCGTGAGGTATGTTGAAACAATAATAAACACATAGTTAGTTGCATAATAATTAACAAAATCTATTGAAAAAATTTATTAATATGTCTCTAGAAAAATACACATAAAACACAATATATGTCATAAGTAATAATTTGAAAATTTTTACTCATGTATGTATTTGTCATAGATCTTCATAACTTAAATTGCCTACAATACAAAATTTTGCAGCAATTTATCATACAAAATGTTGACATTGATAAGAAAATTGCTCCGAATGAGAAATTAATGCAATTGTACTTTTTGATGATTTTCAATCAAAGATTTGATTATCTTTTGCAATATCTATACTTCTACAAACAAAAAACAAAAAAATCTGGCGGTAGTGTGCTTATTTTTTAAAAAAATTTGCAACTGCTATACATTTGTTTATGAAATTGGAAAACTGGCGACAAGATGGTTGAAAGATTAACCATTCTTAACAACTGATTTGTGAAATAGTGCATCAATACCTTGGTTTATTACTGGTTTGGATAGTTACACATCAACAATAGGATATGCTCATTAACATTAATTGAATTGAACGATAAAAGCAAATTGAATATTGATGCTCCGAACAAAATGCGTCTTGGAAAATTTGCAAATAAATAGTACGGCAGTGAACTTGACCAACTCGTGCGTTAGAATGGGAGGTGCTGAGGTATGATCGGAAAACAATTTAGTATTTTGATGATGAAGACAGATTGAATCAATTTCATCAAATGCTGTGACATAAACAAGGCCAATATCCCAACGCAAGTTGTGTAAATCTCGCACCATATGAGCTTCCAATTAATTCATCCATCCAAGTAGTTAGAGAGCTCAACAATGCTTGGACTTTGCATTTATAAGTTAAAGAAACCGCTAATAACAAGGGCTGATGTTTGTAGCTATCGAATGGATTAAGTAGTGAGATAGTTACACATCAACAATAGGATATGCTCATTAACATTAATTGAATTGAGCGATAAAAGCAAATTGAATATCGATGCTTCAAACAAAATGCGTCCTGGCAAATTTGCAAATAAATAGTACGGCAGTGAACTTGACCAACTCGTGCGTTAGAACGGGAGGTGCTGAGGTATGATCGGAAAACAATTTAGTACTTTGATGATGAAGACAGATTGAATCAATTTCATCAAATGCTGTGACATAAACAAGGCCAATATCCCAACGCAAGTTGTGTAAATCTCGCACCATATGAGCTTCCAATTAATTCATCCATCCAAGTAGTTAGAGAGCTCAACAATGTTTGGACTTTGCATTTATAAGTTAAAGCAACCGCTAATAACAAGGGCTGATGTTTGTAGCTATCGAATGGATTAAGTAGTGAGATGTGAATCTTGCTGTTGTTCTAAGATTGGATTGAACGAAATATCATATCAGTGCCACTTGTGTATCATTGCATCACAAGCAAAGAAGTCCATTATAGATGAGGTGAGGCAAATGTTGGCTGCTTCTACTCGATGTGCGGGAGCCATGCAGGACGGTGAGTCTTAAAACAGTTAGCAACTTTTCTAGCCATTGGTGGACAACGCGATGTCACTTCCTAGAAGGCCTCAATTACATCGCGGCAATGTGCTCAAAATCAAGTAGTTACGACATGCTGCATATTACCCGTTATGGATAATGTTCATCAAACGATAAAAATACTGTACATTTGTTTTCATTACGTATCCCCAAACGTGCAAACGCGTACTTCTTATCATGAATAATGTTATCCGAAGATATACAAATCGAACATATTTATCCATTGTGTAGCCAAAAGTAAACATGCCTGCATAATCCCACCATGGTTATGATTTGTCCATAACATGTTGTTTATGCTTGTATATCTACATATTATGTAAGTAACAGGAGACACATGGAACAGAACGTACACCCTACCCTGAAGAATATGCTGTTTTACATTGTGACTGAAGCTTCACCCATCGGGACCTTGTTGGGCTCATACCTCTTGACTCATAATGGCGTCTTCCTTTCAGATCCATTATGCTCTAGTAACAAGTTACCTTGTTATAAGCCTTTCCACTGAGTAACTACTCTAATAACTCTTCTCCAGCTATAATTTTTTCGACGGAAGCATTCCGTACAAAGGTAGGTCCAATATCCCTCCTTCAGGGATCAGGAGCGATGCTTACATACATGAGGTGGAGATACGTGACAACTGAACTTGAACATTGGGCTATTTTGGCCCTGGACGCAAACATCCCTTGCGTGGAATAGAACTTGTGAAATGACATATATGCACATGCCGTCTTGTGTGATGAAAATATGAGAACCTAAATTCTCTCAATTTGCTACTAGCGGTTAGGAATTTTCGTCGAATCATACTGATTGAACAATCTGTACTCATAGCTCATACTCATAGCTACTGATGGCTCGTGCCTTATCAACCCTCCTCGTGCTGTTATTTGTTACGGAGGATACAAGTATCTCTACGTTATGAGATTCACCGTACATGAGGTCCAACGGTAAGGTCAGAACTGTAGTCACACCGACAATGTTGTAATTATGAGGAACACCGATACTGCAAGCACGACACACGCTCCCACTATGAAACCGAAAGCCTGCAGCGAAATACAAGCATACGACATCAATACACAAAAAAATTCGCCCGTAGCAAATGAAAGACATGTATATCGGAGTTCCATGACAATTAGAGCAATGAGAAAGACGAGAGTTGGGCCAAAATTGTGAACAAATTTACGGCCCATCGTACACGAAGTGGGCCAATTTTAATAAAGAAATTTTTAATAGAGCTAGCATGAATAAACCCAACCCCTTCTTCACCACTCCCGGTTCGATTTGTCCACAAGTCATAAACGTGACACTCATTTTTCTCTGATATGCCTCGCATTTACCAGACTGATCGATTACAAATTTTTCCATCCCAATGACAGAATCGTAGATTTATGAGCAAGAATTGAGACCTCATACCTTCCCTCTGGACTTGAAATTGAAGCGATCAGTGTACCAGTTCAGACCCCTGTCCACAAAGGGAGCTAGAGCGAGAGCCCTGGATCCAGAAAAGAGCATTCCACAAAAGAGCATTCCACGTCAGTCTCTATTGAGTAAGTCCACAGCAAACTCATGTATTTTCACTATGACTTTCTGCCATATGCAGCAAAATTGGTACATTCGTTCTATGCAAATCGCGATCGAAGTTTCAGCAGCGAAAAAAGTTGTTGGAACAGTTGTTGTATCTTCTTCCATCGTTGTGAAGTAGATAAAGATGAGATGAGAGAAACAAACCCTGCTGCGCGAAAAAGCTTCGTGACCTGACTGCCTGCCCACACCATTGAAAATAGTTTCACGAACCTGCAGTAAATGGAAGATAATTAGTACACAACTCAATCTATAAAACACAAGATATTGCGGACACAATAGTTGAAAATTTAGAACAACAAGCGCGATGCTTTCAGTGACTTGTTTCCTCCACTCTCAAGGGAAGGAAGTAACCTTTGAGCAGCAGGGCCGAAGCCAAGACTACCTTCCGAGGGAGCCACATAAAACCTGCCAGAAGAAGGAAAGCTGTTACGGTAGGCAAAGTCTTATGCTACACTATCTGTTAAATCTATCTGCTTGAACACTTCGTAGCTAGGCATCACTGTCCTTGCCGATATCTCGAAAGCATAAGATCGCTTCACTGAAAACGGCAATAGCTCAATTGTGAAGCACACTGAGTGTAGGATTCATGAGAAGACGGTGCAAGCTATAGTTTTCTCTATCCAGTTAACTATGCATCATGCTGTGGGTATGCTTGATTGGAGCAAAGAAAGTCAACAGATTAGACTGTTAGGAGATTCAATAGGAGCTACTGTGCAACATAAAGTTATGATGGAAAATATCTCCAAATCTTGGAAGTACATGAGCTCTATGACAATACGTTGATTGGCTGGGCTCCTTCTCTCCCACGTCTTGTTGCATTCAGCTTATGCTAGGCTGAAGCTAGGCAAATTATTCCATGGGGCCTTTCTTACACTGGCGTCTTTTACACGAATTTTATGATTTTTACACGCACTACTCATTTCAAATGGAGTACCTCGACCTTACCAAACAAAGAGAAATGTAACGAGATAGTAGAAGGTGTTTAGAAGTCCATAAGAGAGCACCCCAGCTAACCCATATCGCTTCAGGTTGTTGCGAAGTCTGAAAGGAGAAAAAAAAAATAGTACATTAGCGATTGTACTCGAAGCAGAGAGACCTCATTGAGAGAAAGCCAGAAGTTACTGTTTCTAAAACTGAACTCTGACAAAAAATCAATTTCAACATAACGTTTTGCAAAGGCTGAACTTCAGTTACGTCAGAAAGAAGAAAAGCACATTCTCAGCAGGTAGTCCGCCGAAAGGTGTTAGCGACATGATCGCACAGATGAGTAGGGCAGATATTTCCTGAACGATACTGACATCGCTACGCAATTGACTCCTGAAAATTTCAAAATGGACACCGGAGAAATGGTCCGTGATCGTATACTTTTCTTTTTCGGCGCTTCTTTCTGTGATGAATTTTTGCAGCCACTGCCATATCCCATCTGCAAACAGGACATATTCACATTAGGACTTCATCGAGGACTCAGTCACTGGCTTGACATTTCACAATATCGACAAAGTAACACCACATGGATTTAGCGGTGGTAGTAGACGACGCAGATACTAGCGATATGGACTGAAGTCTCAGAGAAATCACAAATTTACCCACTTTAAAATGTAAGGTCTAACACTATAAGTTATAAACTTCACAGAAACCTCAAAAATCCACTGTTTTGTGACATGGTTGTCAAGAGTTATCAAGAGGCAAGTCTTATCTTGCTTCTCAATATATCACCTACATTGCAAAGCTCAACTCAGGAGTCATCTGTAACAAAAAATTTTGCCCCGAGCACAATCGCACCTTTTGCTGCCGTGTGCTCTTTTATATGTGACTCGTTCTCATCGCTGCCCTAGACATGAGAAACAAAATTTCAAGTACGTAGCTTATTTAGGAAGTTTATTCTGTGCTCTATGACCAGAGAGGAGTCATGTACATCACGTAGACCATTAGCAAAGCGTAAAGTTCTGCCCCCAACTGGCAAATGATTATGATTGGAACTCAAGAACTCCACATCTAAGTTCATATCTGGAACAGAAAATACATCTAGACAGAAGAGATTGAAAAAGTGAGAAGTCTTAACGGCTACACGTGAAACATTTTGCTGCCAGAGCTATCGGCCATACCTCAACGGAAGATCACTTGAGCTATCGCTTCCCAAGCCATACATATGTAACAAGGGCCTCATGTTGCCGGAGGTTGACCAATTTTTTCTTCGCAAAACGGAGTTAGATCCACAACAGCCCTTCTCGCAGAATATCGATGGATAAGAGCGCAGACGAGGAGAAAAATGTCGTTGCCTTAGTGAATCACATAAAACCTGCATTTGTGACCAGCACATCATTCCATTAGTACAGGTTCTTCACTCTTCTTACGCTTTACAACATCGGGAAAAATCTTGTATGTGCAGAGAATGAGGTTACGCAGCTGTAATGGTGTAATCTCTAAAAGTTAGTTTGTGCAAAATCTACGACGTGTGACTGCAACTTCTCTGGAATTCTAGCACTGAGCGGTCTCTCGAAACAGCGAGGACTTTCATGGGCTGAAAAATTCGTGTAACTGTCGATCCTGTCGATCCTGCTCGGGTAATTCTTCACGGTCATAGGGAATTAAACGTGGGCTGCACAAGTGTTCTCTCAAAACTTGAAACTGGCTTTCTTCCTGCATTACACGGCTGAATACGTACTTCCTCTTATACTAAAGACACTTTTACGTTTTTCAAAAACACAACAAACGTCCATTCGATCAATTCTCCAAGCAGAATCGATTTTCTCACCACACGGAAACACAGCGAGTGCTTTGAAAAAGAGTCCGGAGAGTGGGCGCTGGTCTATCAGGACGGCAAGTACCTGTTACTGATCCCATGTCTAGACTACGCAGCAAAGCAGAAGCGATTTGAAATTCACAAGTGGTAAGATGGTGACGTGTAGAGGAATCTAACAAACAAATCGCAAGCCTTTTGCAGACAAGGAGGGAAATCTTCACACACACAGCAAATTGACTCTTTCTGCGTTCACCTTTGGAAATTTGGTGGCTGTAGCTGTGGCGTTCAGCGTAGGTAAACTCGTTGTCAGCATACAGGACATCCTTCCCATGTAGCTCAGCATCTCCCCGCACCGCACCTCGTCTCGCCTCGTAACACCTGTGGATTAGTCACCAGAGCTCATGGGCCTTGGCTGTCATCGTATATTGCGCAGTAACCACAACCCCAAATCAAATTCGTGCTGTCTACCGTAAGCCCCTCCTTTTCATTCTTGCATTGGGTTGTTTTCCTTATTGCCCCGCGCTTAGATTCTCGCACGTTCCTGGAATTAGACTAGACATAATTCACTATCCACTAGTTGTTTTGATATGTACACAAGAAGAAAATTATAAAAAAATCTCCGGAATATGCACGATTTGTATCACACGATTATACTCGTACTCATATGTGCTTTTAATGTTGGATGATAACTTAGTATTTGCATTTACTATGCTATACATTCCATATATTCATTTAGAGAAAGTGAAAATTGGATTATTTATTTAATAAATTTTTAAAATCTACATGAAGTTTTTTCAATTGCTTCACATCTCAAAAGCATATATATTGTTTTTTAAAAGTCAATTTCAATTTAAAAGAAATCAATTTTTTGTGAATTTGAACATATTTTCAAATCATTTTAATGTAAAATTAAATAATATTAATTTTCGATTTGACATACTAATGTCTATTTTTCGTTTGATTTAACATCTTGCACCTTACATACTCATTGGAACTGGAAAAGTATTCAAGTTTATAACAAAAAAATGTATTATCTCATCATCGTCTCTTTACAAGAATAAACCCGATTAATAATTCTTATTTAATATTCACTAGCATCACATTCAAATATAAAATAATTGATCCAAGATCTATTAATTTTTCTGGTGAAAAGATTCAACAAATTTATTACATGATAAAATTTTTCATCTAACGTTGACTTTCAACTATGTATTATATTTAAGTTAAAATGATTTGCATATCACATCTATGAAAATTATAACATATTGTGATTATTCCATGAATTATTTGTCATCATTTAGTTGAGAATCAAAAAAGACAAACATCAAATGAAAAAAAACACAATGAATCAAGACATTAATGTAACATGTTTCACCACATAAGGGTAAGGGAAAAGTTCGTGTGTGACTGTGTACTTGGGGTATCGTGTCATGAACAAACCCTAGGGTTAAGTGACTGTGTACTTGGGGTATCGTGTCATGAACAAACCCTAGGGTTAAATTTCCAACACTTGCAACCTTCCTAGTTATTTTTAGTTAGAGTTGAAATTACTCCTTGACGAGAGTTAACCTCAACAATCTTAACTTTAATTCATGTTGAATAAACAATAAACTCTATAAACTATATTATTACTCTACGATAAAATTTAGACAACAACCTAACACAAGATAAATCTTTATACAAGAGTCAATTAGAATTAAAGCGTAACCATAACATGATAAAGTAATAAAAATATGTAACTAAAAACTTGCTATCATATAGGGACCAAAAACCTCATAAACTATATAAGTATTCCATTGAACTTTCTAGAAAAAAACCTAATATAATGCTACTCTTTACACAAAAGTCAACTTGAACTAATTCGTGTTCATCACAAGATAGAATAATTAAATAAAAATTTAAATGAAAATACTATGGTAGCAAACTTTACCTATGTTTGCCATGCACAACGAGCAAAGTAGCACAATGTCATATGAAATTCCCCAAAGTAATAATTTTGATCAATGCATCAACTGGTTTGAATTTACCATCAATCTTGACTAGTTCAATCGTGTGCTCAAGAACTCCACCAGTACTTGTGCTCTTTCTTCATCAATTTTCACATAGTGATAAAACTCTTCTACAACCCTATACCTGAGTGGAAATTTACCTTGCCATTACAAAGAAACTATTAACCTCTTTCAATGATCAAGCATCATTGAAAGAAACATCACTATTAACAAATACATTATAGGCTACTAATAACCATATCCTATAGCTTCATTGACATCAAATGTCGTCATCCAGAAGATTATTCTCCTTCGGAACAAAGTACTCTCCATCATTCATCAATGGATGGAGAATGACATCTTTGACATTTACACTCTAGTATTTCTTGATGTAGTCACTTGTGCCACATCTTTAACAAGTCACTATCTTTCTTTAAGACAATCTATTTCTAGATTATGATCTCTTCCTCAACTTTAGATTGAAATTTCTTCCTCTTAGCTTTCATATACTCAGATCATGTCGTCTAGATTCCAACATTCCGCTAATTGATCTTTGCAACGTTCGCCAATGGAATGAAAATTGTATCTACGATCTTTATAATACAATCTTTCTTGATGTTGTCACTCTTGTCACATCTCTATCAAGTTATCATTTTCCTCTCAAGGAATTTACCCCTAGACTAAGATTTCTTCCTCACATGGATCGTACTCCTAGATCTAGATCTCATCGTCTTGAATTCAATATTTTGAAAATTGACTCCACCACTTGAACGTGACTGATCATGAATCACATTCAACATTATACTGAAAGTAGACTTGCTTTTTTTGCGTCAATTATCTCCACAACAATTTTCTCCTTGTGGATTATTTTTTAGCTTTCAAAAAATGTCAGGATGCATTAGTCGCGTCGAGATCTTTCTGATGATTTTCAATTTGTCTATATTCCAACAAAAATTATGTTGGATAAAATTATCTACTGACAAAATATTTTTTTATGGAATATTTCCTAGAAACAAAATCTACTAGATGTACAAAATATTCCAAAAGCTGTCCAAGACTACTGGCCGCGTGTCCGCGTTTGCCCGAACTACTCAACCTGCCAGGCCATGGCTACTTGCCACGTTTAAGATTTCATGTCAAGCCACGCGTATCTGTCGAGTTTGCGTGTTGTGCCACGTGTGTCTTTCATGCCTACGTGACGTGCATTGCATGTCTACTGCACATACGTGGCCTACCCCGTGTCACGTGACGACTACCAAGTGGCTGCCACGTGTTAGCATGTCATGAGATGTGCGACTACGAGACCTATCTCCAACACATCACTATGATATGTGGTGTGATAGAAGTGTTGATGTGTCAATGACATATGACGTTGTGACTAGTTATGGTGATGTGACGTCCAATAAGAAATGATTTAGGCCGCTGCCATATGACCTGCAGCCGGCACTAAGCTCATGGCTAGGAAATAACCTGGTTTCTGTAAACTTCAGTCGGACATCTGGAGATAATCTCGTAACCTCTACCACACGGCCGGTAGTGTTTTCGGAGTGAAAAGTAGTTGCTGTAACCATCTTTAGTTAGTTAGAACTAAAGTAGAGGTTAGTTTAAAGATTGATATAGATACTTAAGTGTGCACTAATCATAGCTGCCACGTCAGCGATCCGCGCACTTGGTAGGTACAGAGTGGATGTGTTAATTGACAGTGCCACGTCAGCAATCCGTGTGCTTGTAGGTAAGGATTGAGTGTGTTAGTTCGTGTGTTAGTTGGGATCGCTAACGTGGCGCTCCCAACTAGCACACTCAATCCTTACCTAACAAGCACACGGATCGCTAACGTGGCGCTGTCAACTAGCACACCTACTCTCTACCTACCAAGCGCGCGGATCGCTGACGTGGCAGCTACGACTAGTGTACTCTAAAGTATCTATATCAACATTTAGAGTAAATTCTACTTTAGTTTTCACTAACTAAAGATGGTTACACTATCAGAGCAACCTTGCTCTTTCATTGAGTGTGGATTACCCCTCATGGAATAGCAAGTGAGTGATGATGAAGTGCAATTTTGAGAGTGTATAAGGGCTGACAGAGATCATTCATCTGCATGTAGAAAGAGGTGGAAGAGGGAAATTGTGGTTTTGCAGATATGGACGGGATTGACAGAAATCAAGTACCGCACTGGTCAATTCCCAACCTATTTGATATTCACCTTCGTTGCATGGAGAAATATCATTTTTGGATGTACCTTGTGGCTTGTTGGGGTGCAGATTTTATGACTAGAGTGATGGAGTCGAAAGTGCCACTGATTCTTCCAATATTTACTTATGGTGAGACTTGGGATTGTACTATATACATTATGTACTTAATGTTTCATGGATTTGAATTGCGAACAACCTGTCCCGGTTCGGTTCAGCACTTATGTAGAGATTAGGAAGAAAGCATGGGACATCAATCGATATGGGTGAGGTTCTCAATGCAATCATGGCGGAGATGAAGGAGTTGAGAAAAGCGATAGTAGATGGGCATACCAAGCGGCAAGCCATGGAAGATAAAATTTTCGCATTGGAAAGTGAGAAAGTAGAGAGAGAGACAGTTGGAGAGATGGAAATTGAACCTCAAGTTCAAGCTTCCCAAGTTCAGCTAGAAGCAACTCCTATTGATGCAGCGGAGACAAATAGGAGACGTCTTCAAGAGATTGAAGATCAAGCAAATCTTTTGCTTCGAATGGAAAATCCTGTAAGGTGGAAGCTTACAAAGGAAGTAGAGCAATGGGAGTGTTAGAAGGATGGCTTATGAGGATGAATATTCATTTATTTCATTTTCATGTTTCTGATTATATTGCAGGAATGTTCATGAGATCTTATCTTACGGATAAGGCTCTCACATGATACACAACATGGGACAGAATGCTTTCAGAACGAGGTGCTACCATTTCGTGGAGTGGAATGCAGGAAAGACTTCTGCAAAATTTTCAAGTGGTGAATTCTCTTCAAACTGCAAGAATGAAGTTGTGGGATCTGAAGCAGAAAGGAGGTATTCATGAGTACATTGAAGAATTCCGTGATCTTCAAGTATCTATCATGGATATGAGTGGAGCAGAAGCCTTGGACGTGTTCAAACGAGGCTTGAAAGATCAAAATTGAAAGGAGGTGATGGTAAGCAATTCATCTACTGTGAATGAAGCAATCGCAATTGCTCAACGAATTTCATGTGCTTTTGGTGTCACACACGGTGAACCAATAAGCAATTTTTGAAATCCATCTGGTCCAATATCGATAGAGTTGGGAAACCTTCGACGTAGAGAAGGTTTTGCACTAACAAGAGTACCACTACCAAGATTTGGAGGTGAGATTCGGCGACCAGGAGTTCCAAATTTACAAGAAGGTTATGCAAATAACGGAATGGTTCGAGGAGGAGCTAGAGTTTGTGACAATCGTCAATGCTATGCATGTGAACGAATGGGTCACATTG